TAAAAATAGCTCTACATAAATAAATACGATATCTATCTATTTGGTCATAAATAAATACTTAGTTGGTGCTGTCAATTGTCTACGATATGTTTAGTTGCATGTCGCATGCTATAATGCATTTGTTTGATAACAGTGTTTTACTTAATTTTAGCTGGCCTTGACTGATACAGTATGAATCAATACTGGCTACCTACTCTGTACTCTATGTGTAGGAGCATTTGCATATTTAAATGTATTAAGTCATCAAAAGAATTAGGTTTTGAGACATTTTTACGTTTGTCTGCGTAAACTGCAGTGACGTCATATATACATATTAGTAGTTATAGTAGAATGTTATTTTTTTTTATCCACAACGAGGAAGCTCTTGGCCTGTATGTCACCTGACGGTAAATAATGATCAGGCCGAAGGTGGAAGCGGGCTTCACCCGGAATCCTCAACCACAGAGGAACTGGCTATCTTACCTCTCACTGCCGGAACACAATAATGCTGTTAACGTTATAGGAGCAAGACAACTGGTATAGACAGCGTTTTAATAGCGCGGTGTGTAGTTAGTGTAGGTACCTACATCGTTTTAAGCACAGGATTCTTAGATTTAATTTCCAGTTGGGTCAATTTAGAAAACTATCATTTATTCTCAAATGGCTTGAAGTTCCCTCTAAAAATCTTTTAACTCGAAGCATAAAATTACGAGATTGTACTTAAATACTGAATATGAGCGTCTATTCAGAGAGATATTATCTACTGCATTTTTATTTTATTTTTGTTTTATAACGCACCCATTTAACATTATTTCATGTTCGCGAACATTTTTAAAATAATCTAATTTACCGTGTTTCATAAGAAGCACAAAATGTGAAATCCATCTTGTATTCATTTTAATATTTATGTAAAATAAAAATGAATAAGCATTGTTTACAGAATAAAAGGTAGAGTCTAGCAATTCTAATTAGCCATACAATGTATTTCTATTTTTATTTTTCAATCGCCCACGTTTTCATCTCGTCAGAAGGTTGTATTTATTTCGAGGAAAAGCCCTTTTGGGTATTATTTACATTAAACAAATTGCCTTACGTTTGCCTTCATGTAAGTACCTGCTGCATTAAATTTTGTAAGAACTATGTTTTTCTGTACTTATGTACGGTGCAGAATAAAGATCTATCTATCCATTTAGCCTATTGTAACCTTCAGAGAAGGTTTATTAAAGTATTTGTAATAATTGTGAAATAAAAAAGCTTACATAAACATTTTTAAGCTTAATATTGGTAGAAATTCATCCAGAATTAAGAAAGATAAGCGCAATTAAAGAAGTCCACTGGATTGAAGTAAATCAAACTGCCTAATTAGTAGAATAACTAATTATAAGTTCTTAAATACCTTAATCCCAAAAATCCTTTAATTTAAAATTTTTGGAGTAGATTGTTTCTCGAAATTTCAAATCGGTTTGTTACTGACGCTTCAGAAAACGTCAGCCTTTTAATTATCATCATCATTATCATTTCACCCATAAGACGTCCACTGCACCCAATGATTTCCATATTGATCCGCCTTCCTGCTGCCTTTATAATACGCCTTTTAATACATTTACCTATCTGCCTACCTATAAATGAGTGCCATAAGACCTGCACACATGCACTTACGTATCAAACAGCGAGGCACGCCTCTAATAACGATGATTCAATGTAAACATGAGCGTATCACTCCCTGCGGGTACATGAAAGGCCTCTCAGTATGTTTTTCCTAGTTACACAAATTCTTAAGAAAACTTCAAAGAGATTGTTTGTATACAATCTCATAGGAAAATATTCCAGGCATTTTCTTTGCGTGAAAGACTTACTACATAACGCCACATAAAGGACATAGCAGTAGGGTTGGAGATGCATATAAGCAATTAGAGATTCACTGTGGGAAATTCCTGTTATCACTGGTAGATAAATACTTAGTATTCTTTATTGTACAATACACAATACTATATACTAATAATCACAAGAAATATGATAAGCCAGATTGGTTCCATTGTCAAGACCAGAGTAGGTACTTGTCAAGGCAAATCAAACAAGCTCAAACTAGACAGAGTTTCATCATTTCGTCACAGAGTTCCAATGACCACCTTCCGGCTCCATCATCAGATCAGACCTTGGATATCATTCAAGACCAGAGTACTTGTTAAGACAAATCAAATAAGCCCACACTCGACAGGGTTTCATCATTTCGTCACAGAGTTCCTATGGCCACCTTCCGGCTCCATCATCAGATGAGACCTTGGATATAATTCAAGACCAGAGTACTTGTTAAGACAAATTAAATAAGCCCACACTCGACAGGGTTTCATCGTTTCGTCACAGAGTTCCTATGGCCACCTTCCGGCTCCATCATCAGACTAGACCTTGGATATCATTCAAGACCAAAGTACTTGTCAAGACAAATCAAATAAGCCCAAACTCGACAGGGTTTCATTGTTTTGTCACAGAGTTCCTATGGCCACCTTCCGGCTCCATCATCAGACCAGATACATGACATCAATATTAGATTATTATCCGAATGAAACGTATACGCAAAATTTCAGCTTAATCGGTTATCAAAAAGTGGGTCTAATTCAACTTGCAATATTTGACCCTAACATATGTACATAACAACGAGTAAATTTCGAGTTAAATGTAAATAAAAGCATGTAGACAACAATTTTATACACCGATAACAACTGCAAAGTAAACAAAACTGAAATTGGAAAAAACCTAGTGAAGACTATATTTTGCGTTTATTTATAGCGTTAAATAAATTCCATTCACGATCCCAGGACTAGGGAGCGACACAAGGATGAGGTCGAATGAAATTAAGTAAAGTTGAATACAAATTGAAATTTCTTCCAACATCATAATTATATGACTAGACTAGAATTGATGTGGTGTGAACTATGACACATTCTGAAACCTCTGTGATAACATAAGATCCTTGAATGTAATGAATAATTCGGTAGGGAACCCAAAATGGCTCGTCATCTTATTAGTGACGCTAGCACATAGTACTTTAGAAATTTTTATTAAATGACAGTTCAAAGGCACTGTGACAAATGAAGAGCTTGTATTCTTGGAACCTTTACCGTTACCTTAATGGGCACCGCTTGGCAAACGTTAGGGGGCGCGGGCGCCTGTAATGGGCTCGCGGCGGCGCGCATGCGTTCCGCGTGCCAGCCGCAGTAGTAAGAGGGTGGTGGTACCAAACTTGCAAGAAATTAACTATTAACAGTATAATGTGTACTAACCAAACTAGCACAATTAAGGAAAACAAGTTATTTTGTTGCACGAATAAATAGTACTGTTATTTGAGAACGCCGTCAGGTTTTAGTGGGTAGGCCTCGCCCCTCTGACGGGGAGAGCCCCACATAACCTTCTAGGTCAGCCCCCACGGCTTAGCGGGTATGCAGTTTAATGCAGTTCCTGGACGTAAAACAAAAAAAAATCTTGTCAAATTTATTTTGGCACATTTTTTTTTATTTTTCAAAAGATGAACGTTTGCATTACTTTTGTGTTAGTTTAATGTTTAAATTCACATGACTCGTATATGAAGTCAAAACTATTTCGTAAATAAATAAACAACATTTTTATTTCAAAGTAATGAAAAGTACCTATGTAATACTTTTTTAGAGCTTTTGATGCCCAAAGAGATCAACCTGAACAAATAAGTTGAAGGCAAGTTTTAGTTCACATAGACCTATCGTAATCACTCACTTTATGACGACTCCAGACTCATATTTTTTTTAGCAATGAATTCAGAAGTTAATCAAAAGCTTGAGAGACATTACACAACTCGCGAGGAACTTCTCAAAAACTAATCAGTCATTACGACTGAATTTCAGAGCAGTCTTACTTCTATGTCTTTAATTAAATATTTAGCTCGCTCATGTACGATTATGATCTCTATCTATAACGTGAAGAGTCGAATCTTGATGGATTGAACTGATAAGATATTGCTTCATTTTAGGTTTTGCTTAGATCCATAGATCACAAATGTTTTAAGTTTTAAAACAATTACATTTGCGATGAAAATCAATAAAAGTAATTGAATCCCGACTTATTCGACTCATACTAAATTCAAATTAAATTGTTTATTTGCATATTAAGTGTACATAGAGGTCTATCTTAATATGAACATGATGTCTTAGATGAAATAGGTTTATTGTGTAAAAACCTTTAATAAAACACATCCATCTTAACACGAAAAGAAAAATACTGACAGTTTGTTAGCTAACTTAATTTTTTATCAGTTTTCTTTTAGCTTATGTGTAAGCACATATTAAGTAAATTTTAATCCTGTAATTTATGTAAATACTGAAACGTATTGTTTACGCGCCGTAATTTTCAAAATCGAGATCATGAATAACAGCGCAGCAGTTGCTAAGAGGCATCGATCAAACTAAACCACGGTGATCCATTGTAGCACGGAGCTTAGTGGCCATCGGTTATTGGACATGGCTGGGCACGAGATTTGGCCAATCTAGCTGTGATGTTCGGGGGACGGACGATCCTCTCGTGCTATTGTGGGCTAAACGATCGCGTGATTTGAAGTGAGAGGCAACGTGTCGCGAGTGATTGGGTTAAGATTGAAGTGTAAGCTCAGTTGTTCAAAGTTATGAGCCCTATTTATTGGCTTACTTGATAAACTATTTTAAGCCCTCTATGTTAAAATGAAAGCATAAATGTAAATTACTAACGAGATATTTTGGGAAGAATTCATTACATTTAGAATAATTTTAAAAGTAATTTCATGTTCGAGTCAGTCCGATGGGGACAAAAATATGATTCGAATTTGATGTAATTGAAAGGATGTAAGTGATGCCTGCTAAGAAAGAATGTTCTTTGTAGTTGTTTGAAATCTATAAGACCCTAACAACTACTCGAGTAAACTCTAGTTAGTCTAGTAACCTAACTGGAAAAGAAATTGTGAAGAATCTATCTAGTATGAACTAAAAGTCTATATCCAACAATCCTAGAGTAGTACAACTATGGATCTTCAATCAGCTCTATCAGAAGCGTTTGAGGCCTGGCAGCCGAGGGCTCCAGAAGTCACAGAGAGAACTAAGTGCAGTATATTGCTGGAATGGCCACAGGATGGTCCTTTTGAATTTCTGAGTGGTGACTTTCTGTACAGGCTCGAGAGGAATGAGAAGATACCACCATGGGTGGTCGCTTATAGGTGAATATATTTTTTCTTTTTACAAGTTTTACAAATAATTTTGAAAATAATGTAGCCATAAGCTTAAGGTTGATGGGCGTAGTGACTAGCAGTCTTACGATAGAGCAATTTAATTGTTTATTATTCAAGAATACAACGTATTATACAGTATTCTTAACAATAATTTATTACTGCTACGAGAATTTGCTAAAAAACACTTTTATAAAGGTAAACAAATAGTTACCCTCCCGAAGTTTAAAATATTATAAGTATACAAAAAAAATAATGAATTAGTTTGCTGTAGGTAAATGTCATTTAAATGAAAATATTATACGCTTTTACAGTGGTGGCAAAACCTCGAAACTCATAGACTACCTAGCACCAAGGCACCCTTATAGATTCCGTCTCAAAGTGATTCTCAAAGCGACCGCATTGCCTTCGCTTTCACAAAAGGCGCTGGAACACTACGGCAGTCAAGATGCAGTGATAGAAAAGCTGAAAGAACTAAGAATAAATAAATCTAGTGAAGTGGTATGTGAAGACAACTTTTCTCGTGAAGAGAATACAGAAAGAATACAGGAACACAAAGAAAATCATACTCTATCAGATGATAAGTAAGTAAGGACAAGAACCAATATTTTGACAGAGGGGTGAATTAAATAGCATCAATATCCTTACCCCCTTACTAATAAAACTTACACGCTCATTGAACAGTGTTTTAAAGTGACGTTTTGTATGGAAATGTCACTTTAAAACAGTGATCAACAACTGTGTAACTTTTTATTAGTAAGGGGGTTAAAATTCAATAATAAATAACTCACTTAAGAAGAACTAGATTTGCTAAACAGTTTAGTTACAACCTACAGGATAGAGGAAGGTTCAAAATAGGTTACTGACTTGTTAGAATGTACGTAGACCAGTGTAAAATGACGATTTGATATCAGAACTTAAAAGCATCTTCCAAACACACTCCACTTCTGAGATTGATAGCAAAACAAGCCCAAAAACAAAATGAATGTGAATAGAGTTTGACAAGATGTAAAAATATGAAACTATTTTACACGTTTGATTGTGAAAGTGTACCTTAATTATTTTGTTGTCCACCTTTCAGGCCGCTACAAAAGCAACAACGCAAGTGGCTAGAGTCACAGTGGTCTGAAGAGGTGTGGACGAGTACAGACACGGATGGAACGTCAGCTGTTTGCTTCTGCATGGCTGTCAGGTGCGGGTATCTGAAGCAGGTTCTTATACTTTTTTACGTCAGGAAATCCTTTAAACTCATTAAATCTACTGGGTTAGGGACGACTAAGGGGTTATGTGGAACTCTCCTCGCCAGGGCCTGCCTACCCAAAAAACCACCGGAGCCCAATGAAACATTCGTCCGCACCTCAGTCTTATTTAGAAGAGTTGGCCTAATTATCCACGTTCAGTGTCCCAATTTAAAATTCAAGCTACACGACTAGTTCGAATATCCTCCTTCTACTACGACCTACTACGAGTATACTCATAAAAGATGCTCAAGTATTAATTATGCAATATTGAAATTGAAAGAGGTGCAGAATTTTCGTAGAGTGGAAAATTGGATAACCGGAGGTGGAATTGTGTAACGCAATCGTTTGACAGAATAATCGTATGTTATGAACTGTCAAATGATAACGATTGCTTTATTACACAATTCCACCTCTGTTCAATTGCTTTTATTGTAATTTATTTGTTGTGAGTAGGAATACCATTTCCAAATAAACTAATAATTAACTTAAATGTATGTCACAATGTATGTGGAGTGGAGTCTAAGGGTAAAGTCGTATTTCATTTTATTAATTCTACAAACAAAAGCCTCCCAATCCCTGTAGATCTGTAGTATACAAACAGTAAGCTATCCCAACATTTATAAAGACTTTATAACCTCTTCTATCATTGTAGACTAAATAATGCCCTCCTTTAAGCGAACAAAACATTCCCAAATGTATACAAAGACTATTGAAACATTTCAGATCCAAGTAATGCTGGAAGAAAAGCCATCGTTAATCGGGACAGTCAATTCCACTAATGGGTTCACACCGCTCGCGACGGCTGTCAGGAAAGGTCAGGATGCGGCATGGTAGAGCGCACGCCAAGTTAGTCTTTCTACTCCTGCAACTTTTGTGAAGCCAGACTTTAAATATTTTGGAGATAGTTGAAATGCAAAGTCTATAGTAGAGCCTCTTCTGCATATTTTGTCCGGAAAATGGTCCCAATAAAGAATCTGGTGGTTAAAATTAATATTTTTTATCTGATATTACGTAAGTTACTGACAGTTTTATCCATGTCACAGAGATAATATTTTGTATTGGTTCCTATTTTGTATATTAGTAGGTTTAACAAATCAAATTAATCTAAAATGTGTTTAGTAAGTAACGCTAAAGAAAATATTACTAAACTTCAAGTTTATGAAAACTTGGCCCGATTTCTGTAACCGCAAGTTCTTTCAGCAAAACCTATAAGCGATTAGAAAGCATTTCCAAAGAGAGCCGAGGTCAAAGCGCCGTCTTACAAACGTCTCGATCAAAATAAACATACTTTTTGCACATTTTAATAATACTCAGAAAAATTCGCCCCAGGTGGTTCACGTTTTAGGGATTAATTTTCCAGAACATTCCTCTTGACAATATTTTTTGTACCTGATATAAGCTTTGGTTCGACGTAATCAGAATTGAAAGCTTATTTTCCTTGAACATACTTGCTCGCTAATAAAATTTTATTACTATCTGATTTTTTTAAAGAGACGCTCTACCGGCTTATAAATATAGGACGTAATATTTTTACAGTAGCAACAGATAAAGTTTGTTACGTATTTCTAAATAAAATTAATTTAGCATTTTTGAATTTAATAACTAGACGTTACATTCCCTCCAATATGGTCGAGTGAAGCGATGGCTGGTTCACTCGTCATGTCTGTGAACAGGCGCTGCTGTCGGGGACTGGTCAATCCAAGTTATTCAAATTTATGTATGCGAGTCATTTCTACTAGTATCTTAATATGTAAGTCTAGATATTAGCACGTCACTACCTTGTTTAATATACCACGCAATCTTGTATACCCATTCTTATAAGATACACCATACAAGAATGCATGGTAAATTCAGTGAACTGCTCCTGAATCGAATGTACCTACTAAGATTTCGGGAGCGGGGTGGAAGCTTTTTAAAAAGGATTATATTTAATTAAACTAAGTGATCACGTCCTCGCCGAGTTGGAGGCGATTTAATAATGATTTAATATTGTGGCCGATCGCAGTCGTCCAGTACGGTGTTTACAATTTAGTTCTGCTGACACATCTCTTATGTGAATAACAATTCTACGAATGCTTACACTGTAGAGTGGAAAGTGATGACTTATCTTGTTTAGTCTAGAGCAGAGGGAGCTGACGGATGCATAACTCCTCCCTCCCTAAGTGAGAAATTATCGGAAGTTTCATTTTTATGAGTATTCCGATAATTTCGTTTACATAAAATTTTTACATGTTTGCGGAAGGCAATTAACACAATTAACATAAAAAGAATCAAAACTAATACAAATGTAAAGTATGTAAAATAAGAAGTGTCTGTTTCATTTTCACTAGCACTGATTGCTGCACTGTGTTTCAGGGCGTACGACATGTATTTGATTTCATCCAAATTGATTCCATGCATATTGAGTGCGCGTGCACCGGATAGCGTTGCGTTTACAGGTAGCTCGGGTAGGTGAATCACCGGTATACCTACTACTACTATTTATATTTATTTATATTAACCGGCAGACAGTGGTGACTGAGTTTGTTGCGGCGCTTCTTCTCAGCACTTGCCAAATGTTGGTCTCGAAGCGCTGGTAGGGTAAAAAGATTATGAGACATGTAGAGGCTCCTTAAGAGCAAAATGACGATTTGTAAGAACTATTTATTAGTCTAAACAAATAAAGAAATTTTGACTTTGACTTTGACTTTGAAAAGACATAGATAGGAGAATTCTATTTTCCGCCATTTCATAAACATGCCATGCTAATAAACTTTCTCATTCCTACGTGTCCCCCAGGAGACATAAACACAGTCCGGCTGCTGGTCTCGTCGGGTGCAGAGTTAGACCAGCCATCCGCGACGGGGCAGACGCCGCTGCATCTGGCTGTTCTAGGCAGCCATACCGCTATAGTGGAGTATCTGCTCGACTGGGGCGCTGACTTTGAGGTATGGACCAGCTGCCTATGTAAGAAATGTTTGTGTTCAGGCTCACTCCTATTACTCCTCCTATCCATTACCATGTTTCAGCTATTCATCATTTCAGCCATAGGACGTCCACTGCTGAACATAGGCCTCCCCCAATGCTTTCCACGTAGATCGATTGGTAGCGGCCTGCGTCCAGCGCTTCCCTGCTACCTTTACGATGTCGTCGGTCCACCTTGTAGGTGGAGGTCCCACGCTGCGTTTTCCGGTACGCGGCCTCCATTCCAGAACCTTGCTGCCCCATCGGCCGTCAGTTCTGCGTACTATGTGCCCTGCCCCTGCCAGCTATTATCGGGCATCAAACAAACGACCTTCGAATCAGCATTTCGATGACGACATGACAGTGTTAAAATTATGAATTTAAATTGCCGTGTAGTTTTAGGCAGAGTACAATAATAAACCCCTACTCTCCGCGTGGATGTCCTATGAAGCAACTAAGAGAAGGCCTCCATAGTCTATCTGGCCAGCATCAGGAGTGTAGACCAAATCCTCCTTTTGACTCTGTTAAATTATAGAGGGTCGTACTCCCACACTTAAAACCAAATCACTTGATGATGGTGTGATGGTTTCCCAGGCTCGTGACCTGAACGGGCTGCGGGTGGAGCACTATGCGGTGGACTCCTGTAACCTAGAGACCTTGCGGCTGGTGCTGGCTCGTGGCGGCGACCTGACTGCCACCGACAACAACGGATGGACGCCTTTATTCAGAGCGCGTAAGACATGTTTTATTATCATTTGATTCGTTCGTTCGTTTCACCCGAAAGNGCCGAAAGACGTTCACTGCTGGACAAAGGCGGGATTCAGATGGTCCAAGGATTTCCACAAAGACCGGTCCTGCGCCGCGAGCATTTGATTATCTTACTTCAATAAATAAATATAGATAATTGTCAGTGGCGGCTGGTGCATGCGTGCAGCGGCGACTTGTAGTAGAGTTTAACTAGCAGCCGCTGCAAAATTGAGACAGCGAAAAAACTTCAATACAGTTCTATATTTACTTCCCCATACTAGCAACCGTCGAAGTGAACGCAGATGGTTGGTTTCGCGGCGAAGGAAGGTTTGCTACTGTTAGAGACAGACACTACCTCACGTAACAGACTTATCCTGTCCAAGTTGTAAGAAAAAAATCAATTTCCGACAAATTGACTAAATCAGGCTTAAATTTTTTTAAGTAATGCCCTACCAAAAGAACAGTGTTTAATTTTCGTAAACCAATTAGCGTTAAGTACATAATAAGCTTTGACTTAAGTCCCATGTGGCTTGAAGACATTAATAAAATTCTTAAATCACATTAATTTACTGCTAAAAAGAAATATTGTTGGGAATAATCTATAGAGCTACCAACCTTATTAAAAAATATTACTAAAGCTGAAAATGTATTTAAAAATAAGTCTAAGCTACTTACTTTATAATAGGAGCAGTTGTGTGAAAACTAATTTTAATGTAAGTACCTACTGTCGCCAACAGCACGTCCATTATATTTTTTGTTGCAAATTCGTCCCTACATAACAGACATCAGAGTTGATGTGCTGTCATAAAGAGAGTGCTTGTTGTCCTGTCGTTGTACTCGTACTTAGGTTAGGTATCCGTTTTTATAGTGTGCCAAGGAGCCAAGTCTGAAATCATAGAGGAACTAGTACAGCGCGGGAGCGACGTGGAAATACGCGACCACGCCGGCCTGCCGCTCACCTCTGTTGCCAGGCTTTTGAAGAACAGACAGTGAGTATGAATAGAATAGTGCTTTTCTATTTTTGAGGCTATAGTCAGTTAATTTCATAATAATTCAGATGAACATAGGCGGTACGAAGTTCGCCAGGGCAGCTAGTTTTAATAATACGTACCCCTTGAAATTTAGTTAAATTTTGCAAAATCTTTGAGTGTTGGTTCTACTATGCTAAATTAGCATTGCCAATATGAGTTATTCGTAATAGAAATGTGTGGTGAAAATGTATTCTACTATCCGTTCGCTTTAAGTTTGCCGCTGGCGATATGACGTCACTCGAAGAGAATCGTCTATAACTATAACAAACTACATTTAAAATATTTTTTATTTATTAGTATTGATAAAAATTATGTATTCGCGTAAAATAAGACACATTAATTGCGTTTAATCACTAATTAATTGCGTTTAATCGCGGTTGGGAGAGGGGACGCGCATTCCACGGACCGGCAAACTTAGCGCGAACGGGTAGTAATGCATTATTGTTCGTATCGGGACTATTCCCACCTCTCGTTCCCACCACTGCAACTCCTGTGTAGCCAGGATCTACATTGTTGGTATGCCTGCAGCGGCCGCAGCCGGGACTCGATCCTGCGGCTTGTGGACTCGCAGTACCCGCACGAGAAGGCGCTCGCCAACTTCACGCGCCTCACCAAGAAGATCTACAACGTGCACACGCTTCTCAAGTGATCACGACGAGTTTATACGTCGACACAAACTATTAGCCTAGGCGCAGACCACCGACTTTTAGGGCTATATTTCACCGGGACACCATGGCGGCGCAACCAGTCGCCGGCTACCAACAAAATGTATACAGCTCTATAGAGAGTTACTCACCTGGTGTCCGTGTGGTTGCGCAAAGCTGCATACATTTTGTTGGTAGCNGCAGACCACCGACTTTTTGTTAGGCCGGTAGTTTAGTCGGACAGTTAACTATCGACCGACTAAGGGCTATATTTCACCGGGACACCATGGCGGCGCAACCAGTCGCCGGCTACCAACAAAATGTATACAGCTCTATAGAGAGTTACTCACCTGGTGTCCGTGTGGTTGCGCAAAGCTGCATACATTTTGTTGGTAGCCGGCGACTGGTTGCGCCGCCATGGTGTCCCGGTGAAATATAGCCCTTAGTCGGTCGATAGTTAACTGTCCGACTAAACTACCGGCCTAACAAAAAGTCGGTGGTCTGCGCCCAGGCTTAATTTTTGTAGCAATATCGCACGTATTCAGAAATGAAATCCGTAAACGAACTAAAGTCGCTGATATAGTCCGATGGATTAGCGAGCTGAAGTGACATCTTTTTTTTATGTGACAGGAGGCAAACGAGATTTACCTACAAGTTGGACAGACGATCTCATAAAGGTAGCAATAAGGCGCTGGATGCTGGCCGCTACCAACCGGTCATCATGGCAATCATTGGGGGAGGCCTATTTTCAGCAGCAGACGTCCTGTGGCTGAAATGATGATGATGATCGCACTTATTACTAACTAGCTGTCCCGGTGAACTTTGTTCCGCCCTAATGGCAATAAATAAGCAGACTTTTTTTTTATTTCGAACGGGATAAAAAGTATCCTATGTCCTTCTCCTGGCTCTAAACTACCTCCTTGACAATTTTCAGCTTAATCGGTTCAGCCGTTCTTGAGTTATAAGTGGAGTAACTAACACGACTTTCTTTTATATATATAGAAGACTACATAAGACGCCATCTAAGACCGCCAGATTATTGTATCTATAGATTAGTGCAGGCGGGTATAGTCATAGAACCACTGTTTATTGTAAGCCTCTATGAGGGTGACATACCTACTACATAAGACGCCACAGCGTTTAGAATGACGTGCCTTAGCTAAGCAGTCACCTATGCATTACATTTTTGATGAAAAATCGCACCCACGAGGAAGTGAAGGAATGAAGATAATGTCACGAGTCACAAACGCCGGGCGTGAAGACCTGCCTGCTACTTAGGCTCTATTTGTCTACCTACTTTTAATAGAAAAGTACAATTTTCTTTACTTATCTAAGCTGTAAAGTACATAAATCATAATCAACATGCTTACAATATACCCTAATTTAGAACTTATCTTTTTAGTAGGTTACCGTCCAAATAGTAAAAAAAACCGGCCAAGTGCGAGTCGGGCTCGCGCACAAAGGGTTCCGTAGCAGCAAATATAATAAACTTATTATGTCAATTTATACACCTGGTGAATGGAGCCTAAACTCTCCCGATATTTTGCCTTGTACTTTTATGTATGAATATTAATTTTATATATGTATTTATAAATATTCCGAGCTAAAGAGGTGGCAAAAGCAATGGCAAACAAACCACAATCAATAGTATTCGGTTGTCGCTGAACACTTGGAAACTGAATACATGACTCCGATAGATACGGAAACAAGGCTTTTACATATNATTATCAAAAGGGTGGTTTAATGCGAATTTGAAGAAAATATTTCACCCCCAAGGGTGGAAAATCGGGGATGAAATTTTTATACCCAATATTTTCAATTTTTAGTTTTTTTTTGTGTTCACGCATTTGAAGTCGGTTTTATTTTTTTTAAAAGTTAATTATATTTATTAGTATTGATAAAAATTATGTATTTGCGTAAAATGAGACACATTAATTGCGTTTAATCACTAACTAATTGCGTTTAATCGCGGTTGGGAGAGGGGACGCGCATTCCACGGACCGGCAAACTTAGCGCGAACGGGTAGTAATGCATTATTGTTCGTATCGGGACTATTCCCACCTCTCGTTCCCACCACTGCAACTCCTGTGTAGCCAGGATCTACATTGTTGGTATGCCTGCAGCGGCCGCAGCCGGGACTCGGTCCTGCGGCTGGTGGACTCGCAGTACCCGCACGAGAAGGCGCTCGCCAACTTCACGCGCCTCACCAAGAAGATCTACAACGTGCACACGCTTCTCAAGTGATCACTCGAGTTTATACTGTCGACACAAACTATTAGCACAGTGTGCTATTAGCCTAGGCGCAGACCACCGACTTTTAGTCGGTCGATATTTCAAAATCAAAGTCAAAATTTCTTTATTTGTATAGACTATTATATAGTGCTTACAACTCGTCAAATATTTTGCTCTTAAGGAGCCTCTACATGTCTCATAATCTTTTTACCCTACCAGCGCTTCGAGACCAACATTTGGCAAGTACTAAGAAGAAGCGCCGCAACAAACTCAGTCACTTTAGTCATTTAACTGTCCGACTAAACTATCGGCTTAACAAAAAGTCGGTGGTCTGCGCCCAGGCTTAATTTTTGTAGCAATATCGCACGTATTCAGAAATGAAATGCGTAAACGAACTAAAAGCACTGACATAACCCCCGACGGGTTATCAAGCTGAAGTGACCTACCTACAAGTTGGACAGACGATCTCATAAAGGTAGCAATAAGACGCTGGATGCTGGCCGCTACCAAGCGGTCATTATGGAAATCATTGGGGGAGGCCTATATTCAGCAGTGTACGTCCTGTGGCTGAAATGATGATGATGATCGCATTTATTACAACTAAATAAGACGTCACAGCGTTTAGAATGACGTGCCGTAGCTAAGCAGTCACCTATGCATTACAATATTTTTTATGAAAAATCGCACCCACTAGGAACTGAAGATAATGTCACGAGTCACAACACAAACGGGCGGGCGTGAAAACCTGCCTTCGTACGTTTAGGCTCTATTTGTACCTACTTTCAATAGAAAATTACGATTGTCTTTACTTATCTGAGCTGCAAAGTACATAAATCACAATCAACATGCTTACAATATACCGAAATTTAGAACCTATCATTTTAGTAGGTTACCGTCCAAATAGTAAAAATAATTAATCAATACTTATGTGCCTACGCAATGTACCTACGTTGCGTCTCTTCTATAGTTAGAAATTAAAATAAATCAAGAAAGAGTACATACCTGATTCCATTACTTCCAGCCTAAGCTTCCAGCACGACGGAAAAGCAGCAAAAGTCCACCAACAAACTTCTACCGCTTACCGCCAAAAGTTTTTGCTCCAGCACTTACAGTCAAGTCTAAACTAACCACATTAAATCAATATTTACACTCAATTATTGTTTTACTCGATAACACTAGAAACTTAAAATAAATCCATCACAAAATAAAATGTCATGCGAGACATTTTCACTTCAAAATAATAACAGAGTCCATTGAACCGCGTCGCGTGGCGCCGCGCTGTCGCCAAGTACTGTTCCATTTTCAAAATTCGGGTAGCGCGGAGTCTATGGCTGAGTGGTGAAAACGAAAACTTTTTACTGACAATATTGAGGCAATGGAATCAAGTTTTATAAATCGCTTTTTGTAGGAAAAAAAAATTAACTCTGTATGTTATGGTCACTAAGAAAAATATTTCTCCTAAAATTAAGTAAATTATTTTATCATGACGATGAGAAACTAAATAAAATAAATTTAAATCAAACTCTTTATTGCGTAAAGGTAACTTAACTCTTCCTCAACGTCTCGTACCATGCAGCTTTATTATTCTCTACTGTAATAAGAGCTCACACCACCAAATTTAGAAAAGTACCACTGAGTGGAAATTAGTTATTCACCAATATTTTGTAAGGAATCAAATAAAAGTCATAAAAATAAAACACTAATTTATTATTACAATAAAAAAATATTTACAAAGTCCCTAATCTAACGGAGTATTGAATTGCATTATGCGTGTGAAGTGGTAACGGATGTTAGTACAACCAAGAAGACACCGACGGCCGACAGTTCCAACGCAGTCACCTTACCCCGAGAGTCGAGTTACACGAAATGCATTAATGGCAAGGCTTACAGTTACAATAAATAAGTTACTAAACATTAAGTCAGAAGAATGCTTTTAGAATGAGTAATACTGGATAAAATTTCCAATGCACTGATAATCTGCTTGAGGACGCGGTCGCTCGAGGCCATTCAAAATCCATTTGGCTGTCGACAGAACTTGATGACTTGGGAGGGATCTGTTCCTCTACTTCCCCCCTCTCGAACTGGGCTGTTTTCGACTCTCTTTTGTTTCTGATCGCGGGCTCATCATCCACCTCTTCCTCGTATTCTTCTTCGTCATCTTCTTCATCGTCGTCAGATTTTTCATCTTCTTCATCTTCTTTAGGATCTATCTTAACTTCATCTTTTTCACTAGCTTCTGGTTTTAAATCGTCCGTTATAGACTCGTCATCTTTGTGGAATGAATTAACTAGTTTGAGACGTGTAGTTCTTGTATCAGGTAATGCCGGCGTGAGTTCTTTTGCCATTTCTGTACTAATGGGAGTTCCTACTATTGCTGGTATCTCACCTTTGAAAGGTCCAAATTGAGGCGTTTTTAGGAGTTGTTCTGAACTTGTTGGTAATTTAGATGAAAAAATATTTTTAGTGCTAGGTCTTGCATTGGGTATGGTGGTCAGAGTGGCGGCAGATACTAACTTGCCGTCGTATGACGTAAAAGTCATCCCTTCAGTCATTGAAAGTCTTTGTGACTGTTCTTTAGGCAGTTTTGGGTCAGGTGGCAAGTATTGTGGGCTGACTTTATTCGATTCCATAACCATGTCTGATGTCACCTCTTTGTCCATATTCTTTTTACTAAACAACGCATTCAGTTCACTCTCCGTTCTCACGTAGACGGGGTGTGGCCTGTCTTCCTTCGCGTGGTTGCTAGGGAAAATCTCTTTAGTCTTATCATCTG